TTGAATGACGAATAGGCACAGTGATGAACAGAAAGATGGTTGCGACACTTTTTTTAGTGAGTTTAGGGAACGTACATTTAGATTCAAGGTACCAAATCGTCGTCTCCGAGGAATATCTTAAAGCCCGTATCAGACTATGCATTGAGATTGGGATTAGACCAATTTGAGATTTGACCAATCACAGTAAAGTTTACTAATCTCAAGTTTAGTAACTTTTACTCTAATTGGTCAAATTTCAATCTAATCTCAATCTCAATCCGTAGTCTGATACGGGCTTAAGGTCGAATTAGACTAGCAATTGTCGACGCGGATTGGATTGGAATTGGCGATTGTCTTCCAGCCAATGAGAGCGAAGCAGCCAGCCATTTAATCGACTCATTGGCTAGAGGATACTCGTCAATCGCCAATCCCGATCCAATCCGTGTCGGCAATTGCTAGTCTGATTCGGCCTTTACTCGATGGCCATTCCGAAACCATTTTCGATCTATTTCTCAAGTAAAATTTTCCTCAGAGAAAATGTCTTGGAACGTAAACCTGAATGCGCGTTTCCTAAACTCATTAAACACAAGTATCGCAACTATTCTGTCCATCACTGTGCATCGATTTTTTGTCAATGAAAATTTGAATTGTAATCGCTTCATTTTATTTTACATTAAACACGTATATACATAATTATATACATAATGCACGTACATAATCAGGTACTTGGTGTGTGGCGTGAGTTGAAGTTGAAAATCGAATCTGCTTTTGTAATTGAGCGTGGAACGAAGCTGTACCGTCGGTTCGCCTCTTTACTCTCGCGGGGCCTTCCGTTGGAAAAATTGTTATAACGGAAAAAGAACATCCGCGGCACGCCAGTGGGCGGCCGCGCCGTTTCACCTGCGGCGAGGGATCGCTTTTATCGAATCTCCCCGCGCGCTTTCTCCGGACACGCTCGGAATAAAATGTTGCTCCAACGAGTGCCGCGTAAGGCTTCCTGTACGCAAATTACGCGGACAGTGGGACCATTGTTATCCGCGGTTTATTTGCATGCGATTTTCGATGGCCTTTTCCCACCCGGCGGTCGCAGGCCGGTCACAGTTCGATTGCGGCGCGGATCTCGTTCGAGCGGAGGGCGCGTGCTTTCTCTCGACGTTGCACTCGTAAACGAGGGACACGGCATTTTTTTTCTCCCGTGGTACATTCGATTGCAAATGCGAGAAACCGATTCACATTTTGATATTGAGGAAAGTCCTCTACTATGAGATAGGATCCTAATATGAGATAGAAGAGTTTCCGCTAAATTAATAGGCATCACCTGTTGGTTCCACCATGAATTTATTGCCCTTGGAGTGAAATCTGTTTAGTGGAAAATTGATTGTTGGATTATGCAATCGATGCGAATAAAGATTTGCGATTGAATTTGGACGTTGAAAACCTACTATCTCATAATAAAGGACTTTCCTCTACGTACATTCTTCGCGCGAAAAAAAAGAAACGAGATTTCGTGCACGCACCGCTTCGAAGATTCGCGCGGATGTCACGGACGAGCTGCGATGAAACAACGATCGGAAACTGATCGCATCGTCCCCGGAATAACGGGCTCGGGGTATTCTAGGAAACCGCACCCGGACAGACGTTGCATCTGCCGCGTAGCTTTCGATTAAATATTGCTAAAGCCGGTTTTCACCAACTTCACTTAACTTCGATCCCAGTTTAATTCACCCTTCGTCCCTTTCTAAACTGTAACTCTAGAAAGAGACAAAGGACGAATTAAACTGAGATCAAAGTTAAGAGGACCCTAAAGTCGTCTGTTTCATCGACATTCTTTGTTAGAAGTAATCTTTGAATTGGTTTTATAGAAATGCAGAAATCTTTTACGGAATTAAAGTACGTAGCAAAATGTAGGCTATGCTGGTCGACTTTATATCAAAAAAATTAAAAATTTTACTAATTTTTGGTACACGTGACGACATTATTTGCTTGATACAAGAATTCTACAATAAATATATACAAAATGAGACCAGCATACTCTAGAACTAAGAGTAATAGCCTAGAAAAAAAGATTACTTCTAATAATCGTAAATCCAGAAATCCAAATCTAGGAGAAGAGAAAAAGAGCGGCAGGCTTTTTCGAGAGAGGTCGCTGCCAAACATCTGTCAGATTGTCAGTAAAACCATGCTGACGATGCTAGAATCCGATCGAAAATCTCGGTCTGAGCAATGTGTAGCTAATAAAATTGTTGCTTTTTCGTAAAAGTTACAAATTGATTGGCTATAAATTTCTCGGGCCGAATTCTAACATCGTGAACACAAAGTTGATAATCGACGTTTTTAATTCCGTCTTCTATCTTATCGACACTGATCGATCTTGCCAGCGGCTTTAGGATCCTCTTAAACGACGCTGGTGAGAACCGGGGTTAGTCATCCGCTTCCGATTACGAGGCTCTTCCTCCGTGCACGTGGGATTTAATAAACACACACGTGTTCGTGTTACACGTCATTTCTTTATCCACGCCAGTCGGTCTCGCGCGACAAGTTGACATAACTCACTCGTCTATTTAAACGTGGTCTTTAGACCGCCATCCGTGGATAATAGCTGTCGTTTGCATTATTTAGTTATTGAATTATAAATGTATTATGAGTGTAGAGATACCTCGGGAGAATGTGTTTGCGGCGCGGTGACGTTTTTCAGCCGCCTTTGATTTATAGACGCGCTTTCTCTGGCAATCACAGTTATCACTCGCACATTTTGCAATTGTTTGATCGTGCACGCTTAATGATCCTAGAGATATCAAGAGCTCATTGTGCATCTTAAGCGCTTTATTATTGTATCCTAGGCGTCTGTCGCTTGACAATGATAATTTCTATACCATATTACACTCTTGGTTATTTTATTATCGTAAATCAAATATGTCAAATAAATAATATCATCATAAATCGTTTTCGCATCAACGTTTTAACGCGCAAATAATTAACGTCTAATAAATATATTTAATCGCGTGCGTCGACTTGATATAACGCATTGCTTGTAGCATAGTTCTTCAAGCATTGGAATCGTGTGCGATTATAATCGACAAGTTATATATTTTGCGCATCTTCATAAATTCTTCCGGGTAATCAAAATTCTTCGATTCATAATTTCGACCACGAAAGATTGAATTTACCGTGAATTTCCAATAAATCTGTTCCTCGAAAGTAGAACGTTCATAAAACCACCAAATCCCTAACTTTGAAAATTTTTACTTCCCAGTTTCTTGGATATTACTTTTACTATTTCAAGCTCGTCTTCCGTGTCTCCGCAAAACTCCCGTTATCACAAGCCGTCCCGCACACAGTTGAAAAATTTAGGTGTTAAATTTAACAGATATATCACAGGTCTCAAACGGTCCACACAAATTTTTGTGTTAATTTAACGTAACATGGTAAATAATCACACTTATACTCTGTTAATATTTTTAATGACAAAATAAGTTTTTTAAATGTAATTTTTACATTTTACAGATGTAATAAGTCAAACTCTCACTTTTGTTATATAGAATAAAATCAACATTTTATTCCGTAAATTTTAACAGATGAATCTTGTTACTAATAATATATAAATATTGCGTAAGATTAAAAATCAGTACACATTGTGTTGTTTTAACATTTCTTCTCACTTATTTTAATAATTTTACATTCGGGATCAATCAACACAAGAGCAATATGTTAAATTAACACATGAATTAAACATTTAACACAAAAATTTTAACCGACATTTTATTTAACAAGAAGACACAAATTTTCCAACTGTGTATATAAAGTCAAGCGCCGCCGAGTTACACGGGCTATTTGCATATTGATCGATCTAAAATGTCGCTTCAGACGCATAAGGCGTTTTTGTCGGCTGAAAAAGTCGTCATTTTGCCGATTATCTTATTAATCATCGATCTTGATTGACGCGGCGATCGAAGACCCGTGACATTCGTAACGTCAGCCGTGGAATGAATTTCTTCGTTCTACGTGTCTCGTGACATCGGTTCGGCACGATCTGCAATCATTAAAGGACTTCGCGGCAACTTTGTGCAACGTGTTCGCACAGATCGCCACGAGGAAGAATCCTGTTTCAGAACAACATTCGGTTATTCATGTTGGAATTTAATTTAATTTGTTACCGCTTGGGGGAATAGAGTGCAAACACGGTATCGCCTACATTTGCATCGATAAGTAGATACACGTGCTATAGTTTTTTGCAAAGGCCACTTCAGGTTTCAGCGAAGAATCGGGGGGTTTTTTGTGTGAATAGAGTAGGTCGCAAGAGACTCTAGCGTGCACCTACCTGTTGTCCCCCGAGTTGCCATCTCTCTCGCCCTGGCTCTCCTCCTTTTTCCTTTTTCTTGCTCAACCTGCACCTCCATTCTACCTCCTTCTCTCTCTCTCTCTCTCTGTCCCTCCTCTATTTCGCCTGCCGGCACGGCTCGCTTTCGAACTCTAAGTAACAGTACTTGCGTTTCCTGTATCTCTAAATTGGTAACGCGAGCCAAGGCAGCGCGTAGCGGCGTATCGAACTGTATCGAAAGTCAGGGTATGCCCCGGAGTACGTGGAACGGGGAGCTGTCTCTCCGCCGCGTACGTATAATGTAACGCATGCCGACGTAGGAGCGTAGCAGCTGGGATGTTGCAATAGGAACGTACGTAAGGTATGCGCGCATGCGAGATCTGTCCTAAAGTGACACACTTGGCTGAGAACCGCGCGCGGCATACCTCTCGTCGTGTCGTGCGAGAAGCGGTATTTCTCAGCGTGTCTGATTACGCGTCAATGTCCATAATGAACCGTAGAAAGTACCATGCCGCGGAGACATCGGCATGGCGTGACGCTGCTTTCGAACAATCCTCCGCGCCGGAGCTCCCCCGATGAATTCTTCCCCCCTTTCTCCCCCGATCGTTCCGCGAAGGGAACGAAAGCCCGGTTCTATAGCGTTGCCAAGCTAGCAGCTCTGACAACGGAAATTGATCGAAGCCCTCGACCTGTTTCCCCGCAGGTGAAGGCTGCGTCGAGAAGCCCGTGTCGACCCTATGGCGGAACTACGTGACTAGCAGCCGGCCCGACGTCTCCATGAGGCTGACGGTGACCAACGGTGGGCTGACCGCGACCACCAAGGACCACGGCCTCACCGAGTACTGGGCCCACCGTGTGACTTACTGCACGGCCCCGGCCACTCATCCGCGACTCTTCGTCTGGGTGTACCGGCACGAAGGCCGCAGGCTGAGGCCCGAATTGAGGTGTCACGCGGCACTGTGCAGCAAGGAGTCCACCGCGAGGAGGCTCGCCTCGATCTTGAATGCCAGGCTGCAGCAGGCGCTCATGGAATTCCGCCGGGACAAGGTCTCGAGGCAAAACGCCAGGTGAGAGCAGCGGTATCGCGCCGCTAAGAGTTAACTGAGACCTAAGCGAGCCGCGGAAAGCGGCGCTATTTCATTGCGGCGCGTTTGTTGGCCGCTCTATAAAGCTGCTGTAAACCACCCGGGAGAACTTACGAACGCAAATCTCGAAGATAGACAGGGTACGAACGGGAGTCGCGGAGTTTACGGGATACCGGCGTCATCTAAGATTGGCAAACAATTAGTGGGAATTAGCAGGCGCTGCGACGGGATTAGTGAGGTATTGTTCGGCATTGTCGGGTATTAGAGTTGCGTTAGGAGAGAATTAATGGGACACACGTTGCAAGGTACATTCGCGTCACGCTGTTCACGCGACACGCTAGAAAGGACTCGAAATCTCTCCTCGTCCTGTCGATCGTAATTACTTGGATATCATCTGAATACGCATGTCTTT